GCAATTGGAATCTTGTTTCATTGTTTTGAGATGGTTAGATTAGCTTTGGAGGGGGGGGGGGGGGGATGAGAGATATTTTGTTCCACCGTCAACATGTACTAGGTAACTCTGTCCATCAAGATTAGAATGGATGAGAAGTAATCACATAGTATTTTTGTCTCGGAGTTTGAATTTGAGACCTCATGATGCTCGACACTACATCACACCCTTGGCTACTAGTGAAATCCAATTTCCTGCAAAGATAGGGGTAAGGACCTCGTACACACTACCCTCCCAATATGTCAGTTATGTTGTTGTAATGTAATCCAATTTTGTTGGGAAGAGATTGATTTGGTGCATCTCTAAGTGGCATATGCTTGGTTGTAAATCAAAGAGATCATTATTAGTAAACAAATTTCAGAAAGATCAGTTATTTTAAGTAATGATTCTCCAAATATTGATGCATGTTGTGGTGGCTGAAGGAATTGCAAAATTGAATTTTTTTTGTGATTTACAATGACTTTCATATTTTAGAATGGTACAGCCTGAATAAGTTTTGTGAAATCTTAGCAACTTCCTACCTATAATTAGTTTTTCTGAAAGTAGACCTCTTTACTCCCGGTTCATCTATCAGGATTATGCTTGACATGAAAGAAAATTAGCTTATGTTTCTGACTTAGAAGTGTCCAATCCTTTTCAATTCGTTGGTCTGGTTTTGACTCGATACGGAATTTAAGAAAGTAAAGAAGATTTTTTGATCTTGTGGTCTTAAACTAAAGATATGTAAAATGTACCAAAATGCCTTTTAATCTCGTGGTCTTAAACATACCACGTGGAAAGTTAGAACTAAAGAACTGCCAAAAAAGGAAAGAGACACTTCTTGAAACGGACTAAAAAACAAAGTAAGACAAACAAATTGAAACGGAGGGAGTATTACTTTTCATGAAACAAATGGTGCTTGACCACTGCTAACAATTAAAAAAATGTCCCAGCTGGTAATCTTTTATATTTTTACTTCTTAGAAGCTGAATCCTTCTTCTGATCTTGCTTTTTCTGCTTGGATTGATACACCTGTCACCTTTGCCAATTGCGGCTCAGCTGTTAACACCGCTTACCATGGTTTAATTTATAGAAATGTTCCATGTTGTCCTTTAAGTTGTTCACTCCTGCTTGGTGAAGTTGTATCCTCTGATGCTCAATAATCGTTTTCGTGTTTAAATTTTCCTAATGTTTCCATTCATTGTTGCGTGTATCCTCATTTTATGGTTTCAAGAGTTAATGTAATTGTGTACTGTACTTCATGGTTTGACAGTTATGGATTGCACTTTGTGTGGCAACGAATAGTAGTGCTTGGTTCAGCACAACTGTGCTTGTGACTAATATGAGAAACTTTCCTCTAAGCCGGGGCACGGTTGCTGGTATTCTTAAAGGCTATGGAGGGCTCAGTGCTGCAGTGTATACAGAAGTCTACAGTGCATTGCTTCGCAATTCTTCTTCTAAGCTCTTGCTGTTCCTTGCACTAGGGGTTCCTGCTTTAAGTTTGTTAATGATGTACTTTATTAGGCCTTGTACACCTTCTTTAGGCGAAGATTCTTCAGAATCGTACCACTTTTTGTTCGTCCAAGTAGCTAGTATTGTTCTCGGTGTCTATGTATTAACAACAACAATATTGGAAGATGTATTTTCTTTAAATGTCTTAGTTTCTTACACTCTTCTCATTATCATGGTGGTCCTTCTAATGGCTCCACTAGCCATTCCTGTGAAGATGACTTTTTATCCCTCAAACCGCGGCAAGCTGGGTGTGTCCAATGTATCAGTCCAAGACGATAGCCGTGCAGAGAACTCAGAACCCTTGTTAACACCATTATCATCATCAGCAAACCTAGGAAGTTTTCAAGAGGGAGATGAAATCTCTGAAGTGGATATGCTTCTGGCTGAGGGGGAAGGTGCAGTAAAGAAAAAGAGGAGGCCAAGAAGAGGTGAAGATTTCAAGTTCACTGAAGCTATGGTCAAGGCAGATTTCTGGCTTTTGTTTTTGGTTTATTTTTTCGGTGTGGGTTCTGGGGTTACTGTTCTCAATAATCTGGCGCAAATTGGAATAGCTCAAGGGATTCATGATACAAAGATCCTGCTATCACTCTTCAGCTTCTGCAACTTTGTTGGTCGTCTTGGTGGAGGAGTTATTTCAGAATATTTTGTCAGGTGTGATCCTTCAACCTCTTAGCTACTATGTGTATTAATCCCCTCTTGTTGCCCCCGAGGCTCAATTTCAAATGGCAAAGGTTGAGGGATTTGTGACATAGGTCACAAGTTTGAGCCTTGCACCATGCGAATCTAGTATTAAGTGAAGAAGGGTAGAGGAAAGGCCTTTTCTCGATCATTAAAAAGGGCACCCCCCTGCACTAAGCTCCCGCTATGCGCGGGGTCCAGGGAAGGTCTGGACTCAAGGGTCTATTTTACATAGCCTTACGCTGCATTTCTACAAAAGGTTGTTTCCACTGCTCGACCCAATACTCATGACCTCCTGGTCACATGGCAACAACTTTACCAAGGCTCCCCTTCCCTCGATCATTAAAAATATAAAAAATTAATCCCTCTTGTTTGACTGAATTATTTTCAACCAATGGAACAATGAAATAGAAAGGAAATGATGATAGGTGGTTTCTTCGCTTAAAACTTAGCCCAGATTAATTAGTTAAGCAGTTATTGCTACTGTAAACTTTATGCTTTTGTCGATAAGATTGAAAGGAAAACATCTTTTATCCAAGCATCTCCCATAGGATAGTCAAAAGCAATTTATGGATGAGGTAACTTGTTGAAGATGCTTGAAATGATTAAGTAGGCTGCTTGTTTCAGTTATAGTGTTTCATTGTCGTAATACTAGCACCGATCTAATTGCTTCTTGTTCGATTTGCAACACAGGTTAAAAGCAGTTCCTAGAACAGTTTGGATGACATGTACACAAGTAGTAATGATCATTACCTACCTTCTATTTGCTTCTGCACTTAATGGTACCTTATACGCAGCGACAGCATTACTAGGAGTCTGCTATGGTGTTCAATTTACAACAATGGTCCCAACAGCCTCTGAGTTGTTTGGTCTCAAGCATTTTGGTATAATTTTCAATTTTATGTCGCTAGGGAACCCCTTAGGTGCTTATCTCTTCTCCGGTCTCCTTGCCGGGTATCTCTATGATAATGAGGCAGCGAAGCAGCATTCTGCTACTTGCTTGGGTCCTGATTGCTTTAGAGTCACCTTCCTAATTCTGGCTGGAGTATGTGGTCTCGGCACCGTGCTTAGTATTGTTCTTACCATGAGAATAAGACCTGTTTATCAAATGCTTTATGCTGGAGGATCCTTTCGGCTACCTCAAAGTTCAAGTCATTGAGGTATCTTGAAAAAGCTTAACCAACGTCATGTGCTAATGTCTAAAGGGAAGCACATTGATCAGCAATCGCCTGTGAGTTCAAATTTCGGATAGTATGATATTTATGAAAATTGTTGTTATTTGTATGATATGTTTGAGAATTTTAGCTTTGTTAGTGTGTCCACAATGAAGCATCATGCACATAGATGCGTAAACTACTCATGTAACACTTGATACATCAAGCTATATAGCAAGAAATAGTGTCCTCTCATCTACTTTGTTTCCACTCCATTCCCAAATAGTTATGGTAGTATTATGAGCATGTTATTGTTACGTACTGTATCGTTTCCCCTTAAGACTGGCATCTAAATGCTATGAGAACTGTTCCGATGATAACAACACATTATGATTAAGCGTATGGTTGTTCCTAAGTACTTGTACATGCATAGTGAATATGCTTCAAAGGAAACTGGGAGAATAGTTTATGATGTTCTCGATAGCTGGCTAAAGCATCGAACTAGACCGACAACTGAAGAATATACTTCTACAGTTATCGGAGCTAATCTGAGATTTGGTTATCAACAGATTGAAGGAAACATTACTCGGAAGCATAATTATGTAGATGAGTTGATCTTATACTCAATCTATATTTAAATTCCATAAAGTCTATAGTTATGCTGATGATTTGAATTGGTTTTTGTTATTTACTTTTAACTCTCAGCTACTATTGGAACAATTTCAAGTTTTGTGATTACCAAATTCTAATGGCCTATCCTTATGGATAAGCTCAATTCTGTTTTGGTGCATTTGGAATGACATGAAACCTGTCTTTTTCAGTATCAACAAAGTTTTGCATGTGAAGGTCGTTATCGATTCCCGCCATTATTCAAAGTACTCCCAGGAAGATCCCTTTCACTATGTGTATGGTTTACCCTGAAATCATGCTGCTTCTGAGTTCTGGGGTCCTGCTATTTATCTTTAATGCCTTTCATCGATTGGAAGACTCGAACTTGATCTTATATACACATTGCTTAACATACATGAGTGATGAAGAAAGGAATTTGCGTAGCCTTCACTCAATAGATGCAAATGGAAATGGAATGATACTAAGAATGACCTTAAAATTGCTGATGGATTAATTTTAGAATTCTCTGCTAGTCTTTTATTGCATATATACTTGTAGCTGATTGAGCTTTCTATTTGGTAGCTCTGTATTGATGCTTTCTTTAACATTTTTTCTTGGCTTCTTCACTTCCTTTGTATGCTTTTTTTCAAATTACTTTGTAATGTTTTTACTTGAGTCAAGGGTATATTGGAAACAAGTCTATTGGAATCACAAGGAAGGGGTAAGGTCTGTATATATGAACCAACCATCATACATATTTGATATTAAAGTTCAAGACTTTCAAGTACACAAATGCAGAAAAAAAAGGTTACAACAGAACAAGGATTGTTGAGACAGCAAACCCCATGCCTGTGTGCCAAATACACTCTTTACCTTTTGCTACTAAAAAAACAAACAGATATTTACCAAAAAACATACTAACCTAGGTGATTTCTTCCCATCAGAGTTACCTGGCACCTAGTACTGGTGAAGGTGGTAGGTATCTCGAGATGCGCGCAAGCTGGCCTCGGACACCACAGTTATAAAAACAAACAAACATACTATCCTAGGATTCTTTAATCTGCAGCAAGTCTTACAAGATGGAAGCTTCATATGAGTTGTCAAGTGGGCTTCATATCTTGAAACATTAACGACCATTGTGAGTAGATAGCCCCATCATCAGCTGGTATCATTTCTTGATTGTAGTGATTAAGTATTGGGCTACTATAGCCCATTGCATCCAATGGTCCAGATTTATTGATTCTGCTTGGATAAACAGCACTGTCTTTGTATCTTCTGTCCAATGGACCAGACTTCATTGGACTCCTATTAGGGTACATCAACTTTTCTTGAAGTACTCTCCCATCCAGAGGACCTGAGGCACTCAGATTTCTGTTGGTGGCCATAAATTTGTCTTGCATTCTTCTGTCTAGTGGTCCTGACTTCATTATCATGCTTCTTGTTGTGACTATGGCTTTCTCTTCCTTCGAGCTCTCGAGCTTCCTTAGTGCTCCGGTCCATTGTGTTCGATAAGGTTTGAGCTCAGAGAGAGCTAGACGAGTCGAAGCTCGGTGGATACTGAGCTTGCTCAAGTTCTTGGCAAGTAACTTCTTGGCTTTGTTGATTGCCAAAACAAGTCTTGAAAGACCATTTGATGATGAGGTTGTTCCTCCTCCTCCGATTCCGCCTCCGCCTTCCTTTCGAGCCAATTTGAGAATCTCTAGCCTATGTTTGGCTACAATAATCCCCATACTTTGAAGGAATTCATGATTGAAGTAAATCAAGTCCTCCTTCTGAAGCTCATTTCTACTAAAAACAAGACCATACTCATAGATAAGTTCTTGATCAAGGCTAGTCTTGGATAACCAAGAATACCAATCCATGTTCTTCATGTTTGCTAGTAAGTTATGTGACTAATGAGACATATTACATATATTATGCAATTTGAACCCCACCCCACCAAAAGAAAAAAAGGGAAGATAAAGCTCACTTGTCTATCCCCACTAAATAGATAGGAGGAGGAAGGTGGAAAAGGTCAAGAGTAAGTAAATGAGCTTGAAAAGGAAACCAAAATATAGTGGTGGGTAAGATGATAGGTAGCTAAATAAAGAGTCATAAAACTTCATTAGGTTGTTGGTTTGCTTGAAAATTAGGTAGTTAGACCTCATTAAAATTGGTTTTAATTGTCATGTTATAGTGTATAGCAGTAAAGTTTTAAAATTCAATTAATCACCTATTTTTTTCAAGAGAATTTATTTCATATGTATCCCATCTCATCTACTTTTTTACTTACATTGCATACACAAGTAGGCATAAACTTGCCAAAACTTAGATATCATGGAAAACTTAACATGTATGGTAGGGGATTGGACTCTAAACATGATCAGGATACGACCTAATGGTCAATGAAGTGATGAAAAAAACTTCATGAGATCAGTGATCAAATTTCAGCAGAGACAAAACTTTAGCTGATTTCTTCTTATCTATCGAAGTTTTGATAGAAAACGTTATTCAATATTTATGTTGGTGATTACACAATCTGACTTAGACGCTACGATTATCAATGGGAAAATGTTCCAATTGGACATATCTAGAATTGTACTATAGTGTTATTGATGGGAAATTGCTAAGTGCTAACAACCACATGCCCCTATACCTACAAAGGAGTTGTTTTATTGAAAGGGGCAATTAATTACTACTCACATGGCCAACCCTCAAGATTGTCCTCACAAGCTACATTCAATTTCTCAAAGGCAAAAACAAAATACACTAGCTTGATTAAGACATTGTACACCTTTTCTTCTTCTTTTGAAACAAAAAAAAAACAATCCTTTTTCCTAATGTTTGGTTAAATTTTTTAGTTGTTTATTACCAAAAAAAGAAGAAGAGTTTATTAGCATTTATTCTTTCACTAACATATCAAATGCTTATTATTTATTTCAACACTCAAAAAAACATTAACCGATATATATAAATTATTTACAATCAGCTAACACAAACGAACTCGTAATCTAATGATTGTAACTCCTTCCTTTACAAGTTAGGATCCATATCACATCAGTATTTTTATATCTTTTTTTTTTAATTCTTTTTCATGGTTGACAATTAAAAATTATATAAAAAAAAACCTAAGAGGAGCTAGGGTTTGAATTTGACATCTAACCATAATGTTGATTATTTTTAGGTCATTTATGGGTCCACTAAAACCTTTTTTTAATAGCTTTTGAAGTGAGATCCCATGCAATTTTTTAAAAATATTTATATAACATTAATAACTTATTTGTTTGTAATAAATGTTAGGCAACCAAATATGCTCACAAAAATATAGCACTTTAAATTCAACTTTTCAATATGGGTAGGGGACCATAGACAAGGAAAGGGAAAAAAGTTGGAAAAAAACATTTATTAGTTGTATTCACTTATTACTGTGTAAGATTTATCACAGTAATAAGTGATTAAAATTAATATTTTTTTGTTTGGGTTTTGAATTTACCTAACAATATTAATTTACCTCTAGTTTATTTCTTAGAATGTATAATTTTCTACTTTTAACAATGATTGAGACCACTCTGTCGTCTATGACTCCGGATCATGTATTAAGCTTTACTTATTCATGAAATTATTTAGATTAGTAGTCACAGAAAGTACATAATATTAGAAATGACAGACGTTTTTATCGTGTATTAAACTTTATTTACTTATGAAACGCTTTTCATTTTATCTAAATTAGTCAAACCCACAAAAATACATGATATTAAAAATCACAATAAAATCCTTTAACGGTAATCAATCAAATCATATAATGTTATTCAAGCAGATATAATAGAACAGACAAGGTCATAGGATACTAATCAATTAAACTTTTTTATTATTATTTGGCACATATGATATGATTAGGACCAAATATAAGGTATAAAGTTTCAATTTTTTTTATGACAAGGAAAACTCGCAGTCGCTATTCTTTGGGTGCACATAGGGTAAAATTTCTGCTACTATGTTGTTACTATCCAAAAATGGACGTGATGGAACTCATCTATCCTACCAAGACAAGTCAACCTCAAATCCAAAGATACGAAAGAAATGTGGAAAGTAAGACAATAATAACGTAAAAGCGAAAAACTTAGTCATTTTAATATTACCCCAAAACATGATTGTTATGTGTACAAGTCATTAATGTATTAATACAGATTTGAAAGATAAGTACATGTCTCAATATCTTTGTTTCTCGGATAGGACAAAGGAACAAGAGAGTCCGCCGGAATGAAAAGCAGCTACCTTTTAACATACCCTCAGAAAAGCCTCAAATGTGACTAGAAGAAGAGCAATCACACAGAATCGGGCTCTGAACCTGCACAAGTATAGAAATAATGAGTAAGTACCAAAACACACAGTACTCAACAAGCAACCTACTAAACAAAGCAAAACTAAGCTAGAATACAAGTACTCCTTTCATTCCAATCGAACTGCCTCAACTACAATCTACATAGAAATCAGCCATATCTAACAGTTTACAAATACAGTTCACAAGTTTCCATAATCGCAGTCTAACTGTTACAATTCATCAATCACAATTATCAAGTATGTCAATCATAAGTGTCAAGTAGATCAATCACGACAATCAAGTAGATAAATCATAAGAATCAAGTTCATCAAATCACAATAGTCAAGTACACCAATCACAAATCTCAAGGTCATCATGCACAATGTCAATCGGGACTTATGGAAAATGCCCATATTCCAGGAACTCATCGGTAATGACATTGGCATTAATTACACTCGCTAACAATGACACTGCCTCTAATAATACTCGCCGACAATGGCCTTGACATCAATAACTCTCACCGGCAATGACCTTGGCATCAATATCACTAGTCGGAATCATTTTCCTTCGACTTTATATAATGTCACTGGCTGAAACCATTTCCTTAAACATAATCATCACATGTCTCTTCACGATGCACATAAATCAATATAAATAAGCAATTCACACTACAGGGAAGAGACAATAACTAAAGCAATTCAAATCCACAATAATGCCATCAAAACATTTCATCAATCAACAATTTAGGTCCACAACAAGGCAATTCACAAAAGATAATTATCAACACGTTGTCTTTTTCATTAATCCCCTTTTTATTCATTAAGATCAATCAAGTGGAATAATTGAACACATCACCTCATTCTCATTACTCCCCACCACACACAATGAGGGAATACACAATTCTATTAGTTTTACAAGGTTTTGAAATCATATGCCTTAATAAAATCAAAAGTCAATCCAAGACTTGAGCCTTTCCTTTACGAACAATGTCCAAACCCACACAATCTGATTCAATCAAGTAATCACAATAAGATTCTGAAAATAACAACATCTGAATCATTCATTTTTAAAAAATGGGTCAAATCAACTCAAAAACTCAATTCTGAAAGTGAAGTTTGAATCCGTAAATCTTTACTGAAAATGTTACCCAAGGCATTTGAAACACATAGGTGAAAACCATGTTGAAAAAGAAATTAAAATCAGCTCATAATCACCATTTTACTATAGAACTCAAGTCCTTGAAAACCTTGTCATTTGTCAATCAAAATCCCAAGTTTTGATGTTAAAATCCACAAATGATTAAAGGGGATTGAAGTTTTCGGGTTACAAAGACTTATCCAATTGATTCACCACGAAAAATCTCCTTAAAATCACCCTTATGAATTTTCCAAAACTCAAAATGGAGAAAAATAAGGTTAAACCCCGAAATGATAGGAATAAACCCTATCTAATGTCGCAAAAACGGACCGATCTTCACTTTCGCGAACTGACCTTCATTAAAGCGAAGGTCACGATCACGACATCCCCATTGCGGATGCGAAGGTCAAGGCCCCTGACCTCTTCACGAACGCGACGATCACTTCGCTGAAGCAATGCTCGCTAAAGCGAGTCATCCTGCGCTAAAGCGAAGCACACAGACACAAGAACATATCAACCAACTCTCAAATCTCCGAATGGACTCTCGAGTTTCGTTCAGAAACCCATAAACACACATATATGTAAGTTGACTATATTCAATGTTTGGACACAATGAAATAATCGAACTATGAATCTGAGGTTTCCTTGACCCGGGTCCCGTGTAAGTCACAAGAAAGGAACACAACGCCTAAAAAGGTCAAATCAAGCTCGGAACCTCTGAAAATTTAAGCAAGACCTCGCCTATGCCTAAAATCATCCCCCGAATTTAATTGAACTCTCGGAATTCCAATCCAAGTATCCGAACCCCAAATGTTTACCAAAATCAATCCAAAGGCTAAAATTTCACAATTTTACAACTTAGGACCTCAAATCCTCAAAAAGACTCTGAATTAGAAACTGACAACTCTCCTAGACCAATTTTCACATTCCGGCTAGACCAATTTTCACATTTCGAAACTGATAGAATCGGCGGGATTCGATTCCGACACTCGAAACTCCAAAATGACATCGAAACCATTTTTAACAACTTTAGTCTTTCAATTTTCCAAAATTCCCATGGTTCACATTTTTTAACTCAAAACTCGAGATCACTTTCAAAACTCATTCAGAAATGACTCGGGGTCAATGTCGGGAAGGGTAAAACAATAATTTTACAAAAAATTTAAAAAATGACCAATCGGATCATTACATATGCAACAACTATAAAGTTTCAAATATTTGGATATCCAATTCAAAATCCATAAATTTTAAAGATGAATCCGAAATTCAAAAATTCCAAAAAAATGTCAAATTTTAGTTTGAATTTCAGGTTGGCCCAAACTATATCCACCCCTACCGAGAATAATTGCATCTTCGTTTGAATTAGGGGTGACCATGGGATAGGGTAGGGTGGGGCAGGTTAACCTTAACCCGCAAAAGTTTCAATCCGCCCCACACGATAGTTTTTCTTTTATTTTCAACCCGCCCCGCTTCGCCCCGTGAACGTTTTAAATTTTGTTTTGTTAGAAAAATAAAATTTTACACAAATATTATAACGTGCAAATATTTGAGAGATCACGAGTCAATGGCCAATTTTGAGGTTTTTTCTTTTTGTTATTTTATTTTTTAATTCATGCCTTCAGATTTAATTAATTAATTCAACTAAGAGGCTTCGAGTTTTAAAAGAATATGACATAAACAAACTTAGTTGTTATGGTCTCAAAATATGTTTATTGATTCTTTTTTTTTTACAAATCAGAAATAAAGAGCATCAACTCCAGCTCTTATGCAGAAGTCCATAACAAGCTATTTTGTTCTGTTTATTACCACTCAGATTAGTAAAAAAATAAAAAATAAAGAACATCAACGGTACCACCCCATAAGGCCAAAACCCGTCTCGTCTCATTGTCATCCCGAGTTTGAACCCAGTTTTTTGGGTATATACATCTATCCTTCCATTCAAATTTTTACTTAGAAAAATTCTAAGATAGATTGGCAAACAAATTAATATTTGAGATCTATAGGTTAAGTAAATGAGAGATAGATTGGCAAATAAATTTTTTTTTGATAAAGATATATTTGTTTTGAAAAATTAATTTTCTGTTTTTTTTGTGCTTATGCTTCTACTTTTGATGAAAAAAAAACCATAATTTATCTTCTCCCCAATCACGGGAAAAACTGTTTTCGTGTTGTTATATACTCAAAAACACTTTTTAAGTTATTGCCTCTGTTAATGGATATTTTCATTCAAAGCTTATAACACTTCTTTATTCGACCTTCAAGCACAGGGCAAGTGTGAGACTATATATGTATCTTAGATAACTTAACCCTATTCTGAAAGATAGTTCAAGTGGTGAGGATCGCCTAAGATCAATCGACCTTTTTTGTTTGGATAAGTAGAGCTTGATTAATATACGGGGTATACAAAAGATGCAATGCGTTACTCACTCCCCTATAGTCTTGTTCTTCGATTTTATTATTTCCAGTTGTTTTCTTTGCCTCAGTTATCGTATTATTTTGTTGTTACTTACTGGTCTTGTCTACATTATTGCAGCATGGATTGCTTCACTATTGTATTTCCTTTTCATACTTGATTTTGATATGCTTTACTTGAGTGGAGGGTTTGCCAAAGGGTAAAACTGCATACACACCACTCTCCTCAGACCCCGAATACACGGGGTATGCTGTTGACAGCGGGAGAGGAAAACTCCCACATGCATGATTTTACTGAGAGAACCCCTTTTCCACCTCATACAGAAACAGGTGTTTGTTGGGTAAAAGTTACACTACTACTATCTTTTGAGTGTCAAACTCATCTAACTCTCAATCAAAAAGATTGTATCATATAGTTAGATTAAGGAAAATAATCAAATTACTAATCTCACCTGTTAGACAGATACATATAGTTATCTTTTAGTTAACCTGATCGTAAAATAGCATACCAAGAGCAAAAGGACAGGCAAGATAGAGATGCCTTGTGGACAAGAGCCACCCGGGGCAACTGAAGAGGTTGTGGTACAAACAATGATATTGGCCTTCTGTTTCCCTGCATTCTGCTATAAGCACTACAACAATCTACTTGTTCTGTATCACTACAACAAAACTGTGTCCCATTTCACCAAGTAGATCGACCAAGACCATATAAGGAGACTATAGCCCCCTATGCGTAACTGCTGTGGGATTCTAACACCTTGACCTTAGATCAGAATCTCCCGAAATCTTAATCCAGGAAGGAAAAGGTTAGGATTTGACACGCATATGATGAATGTAATCACCACATTTTACTTAGAAAGAACCAAATGTGCAACAAGGCCAAGGAATCTACCCATCGTGTCGCTATAGAGGAGTTAAAGAAGAGGATTCAAATTTCCAGGAGGCATCACAAATAGCAGTCATTGTGTTCTCACAAGTGATCTTATCTTGGTTATATGATCTTTCCTTAATATATTGCTCATAATGTCACATTAGTACATTTTTTACACACTTGTAACTCAGGTTTGAAGTTTCTTCTTAGAATCTTTAGGTGGTTCTATTTTATATCCATATCTCTTCAGTAGACTAAGATTCTTATTTGCTTCACCTAATAGTAAATAAAGTCACTATTATGCTATGCTCCAAAGTTCTGTGGTGCCCTATTAGTTCTCCGACTTAGCAGCAGCATCTTGAGTTGCACGCTTATTGGAATTCTAAGAGGCATGAACAATGTGACATTGCTTTCTTCTGTCATTAACTTAATATGGTAAATCCCACTCCCCAAACGCCCCTTACCTGGAAGCCAACATTGTCTCTTTCCCTTTTTGTTCCTTAACATAAAACTTGTTAGAACATATAATGCTCCTACCTTGCCCATTTCTGTATAATGAACATCAAGCACGAGATGGCAAATACTGAATCAGCAGCTAACTGCTATTTACGAAATTCCTGATGGTTCTACTTGAGACCGAAAGAGAACTAGAGATGTTAAAATAGGCAAATTACAACTAATTTTCTATCTAGGCCAATTCAACACCGTACTAATATATACAACAACACAAGGCAAGTGCATCCCTAATCTTTCTTCTGTCATTACAATCATAGGAGTTATGCTCCTATTTTGTATTTGTTTTCGTCGGAAGGCTTTCCTTCCTTAATTGCATGCAATCAACAATTCATTCAGCATAATGAACATCAACCACAAGACACTAATACTGAATCAGCAGCTAATGCTAAATTTTCCATATGATTCTACATGAGACCAAAAGAGAACTGGAAATGCGAAAACTAGGCAAACTGCTTCTAAATTTCTAACTAGGGCAACTTAACAGTTAACATCAGACTAATATATACATATCACTATAAGATGCTAAGCAGAACAATAACATAAACAACATAAACCCGGAATTCATTCCCTCTGACTTACCCTAAACAAGTGTGAGGCAAGCGCATCTCTAATCTTCTTCCCACTTTCATCAACCTCTCCGTCAAACACAGGAAACTCTTCAAATCTCGGATACTCCTCCTCGGTTTCATCTGTCACTGCTTCACTACACTTGATAAGAAAATTGTGCAGCAAACAGCATGTGATAATCACAAATGGAAATGCCTCAATACATTGCTCATTCCATTTCCTAGCTAGAAGCTTCCACTTTTCCCTAACTCTCCCAAAAGCTGTCCCCACCAACTGCATTCCTCTTCTATGCACTGAATTAAACGCCATTTCCGCCCCATCTTCCACGTTCGATTCTCCTCTGTAGGGTGTGAGAACCCATGGTAAAAGTGGGAAACAGGAATCACCAAGAATATACTGAGGTATTGAATTGCCATCATTTAGCTCAAAAGATGAACCATTTAAGTACTCTTTTGATTCCTCAACACCCAAATAAAGCTTAGATTTTCGTAAAACAGTTTCAGGCCTCATAGTAGAAGGCCACCCAGCTGATACATCCAAAAATCTTCCTTCAGAATCAACCAAAGCTTGAACAATCAAAAATCCATTTTCACCTAGCAAATCACCACCCAATTCGAACTTTTCAATTCCCAAAACACCACAACAATTAGGCAATGAAATCCACCCAAACCCCACAATAACCCTATTGATATCACTCTTGAGCTCAAACAAATGCCCCAGGTTCTCAGTAATAGCTTTACATACAGTGTAGAAAACGCGACAAGCAGTAGGGGAATCAATCCCAAATCGCCGCGAAACAGCAGAAAATGAAGCACCATGAGCAAGACGATAAAGGGTCAAAGCAAGAGCGTAATTAGGAGGAACGGAAAGTGAAGAAAGCGAAGGCGTTAGAAGACGAAGCAGAAGGGTAAAAGAGGGTTCCGTAAGATTGAAAGTTTCAGCCCAAAGGGTATCCGAATCTGCAATCAGAAATCGCTGAAACCAACAACCGGGTAATGAGTCATCGTCGCTCGGAGAAGTAACGGCGGCGCGTGGAGGTGGAGCAGCGCGTGGAGGCGGAGGAGGGAGAGAGAGAAGTGAAACGATGTTGGAAATGGAAGAGGAGGACGAGGAGATAAGGGATTCGAGGGAAAGGGATTGATGAGGGAGGAGATGGAGGTCATGGCGGAGGAGGAAAGAATGGGCGGAGGAAATGGCGGCGATGAGGTGGGGTATGAGTTTAGTACAGTGTTGGTGACGGAGTTGAAGGGTGGCTTTGAATTTCTTAGTGAGTTTGGTTATCTTTTTGGTCATCGTCTTCATCCTCTTCTTCTTCTTCTTTCTTCCTCTCTTTCTACCGGCGGTAGCCATTGATGATCTTCAACTTTCAAGAGACCTCTCTGTGTTCTTTGAGATTTATTTACAGCAAAATATTTCCTTAGATCTATCTAACGGTGCACAAGCTAATATATATATATATATATTATTTTAACACTTGTCATCTGCAAACGTGTGATCTGTATCCTTAATTTGACGGGTATAACTAATACAAACATTATTTATATATTTTATTTAGTAATATTCTTATATATCGTATCAAACGATTAATAAGATCGTAACAGACGTTCATGAAAATTTTCGGTCAAAAGCAAATTGAGATCACATATCACCAAAAATTCATAGACTATAACACGTGAAAATGATAAATTTGATTTTTCCATTTTGGGGATCTAACAAGCAGCACAAATGCCTAAGCTAAGACACATACTATCAGACTCAAATCTACTATTCAATCTACAAGGACCTAGTTAATAACAAATGACGTCGGAGACATACCACAGTCACAAGGTGTTCGGTAGAGATGGCGGTAAATCTGGTAAGGGTACTCCAACTCCGTAGGGTAGAGGTTCTACTCAGACAGTAGGCAGCTATGAGGGCCAGTGTTATGTTTTCCAGGGAGGCCTGAGGCTGAAATTTTCACTCGAGTCCTACAATCAAAGAAGCATAACAAGAATGGAGCCAATCAATACCATAAATAACATCGAAATCTAATCCATTAAATTTATATAAAGTTGAATAAGTAAACGGATATGCATTTTATATGATAATTTCATATGAAATACATTTGAATTGATTTGTATTAGGTCATGTAGGATGTGTATATCTACTTGTTCAACTCTATGCAAATTTAGATGTCTATTTATTCATACTCAAAATTGAAGAGTATTAATATTAGTTGAAATCAAATTAAATAACAGATTTATGTATTATGTATTACGTAAAATATGTATTGTTTATCTTTGTGCTTGTGAACATTCATAAATTAATATGACATAAAAATCAATAAGCAACAATATTCATCAAGCACCACAATGTTATAACTATCAAACTACAATAGAAGAGATGAAAGAAAACTTAGGATTAATGTCGCTCGAGTCATTTCCTTTCTTGTTGAATTCTCGAGCACTGTTTCGTATGGTGATAAGATAAATAAAGTTATGCAGGAATGAAATAAATAATTTTAGATTAATTAATATTTCTAATAAAATACATAATTGATGAAAAATATTTTATTCATAAACTCAAAAGCGAATCTCGCTACAAGTTCTCTCTAATTATTGCTAGTTTCTTCAATTAAAATAAGAAACCAAACTAAACAAGAACTAGAAAACTTATTCTAATATGAATTAGGACAAACAAATCCTAATTAGATATGAATCAAATAAATACTAAATAACAAATTCTAAACCACTTAAAATTCCTACTTCAGTTTTAAATTATTATTTCAACAGTAATTAAGTAATTCTATAATTTATCTCTAAATAAAAAATAAAAAAGGGGTCCCATGTTTTCGATATAGACCAGGTTTTCTTCACCAAAAAAACTTATGGACTTAAGCGTCCTATATATAAACAAGATTCCAACTCTTCTCTCCTAAGTTTAAAGACTTCAAGAATCCAACTTTTTACTATTTTCTCTGCAAAATAAGGATATGGGGTCTGCAAAATTGAAGATTGGAGGGGCATGGAGTGGTGTACTGGAAGTGGAATTGGAAGAATGGACAGTACTAATGTTAAGAGAAGAGGTAGCAAAAAGATCGGGTCATGGTGGAGGACCCGAAACAATTAACCTTATATGTGCTGGTAAATTGTTGAAAGATGGTGATGGAACTGAAAAATTGAGTCAATTGGGTGTTAGAAACAATGCAAAGATTTTGGCTTCAAGGGTTTCTGTTGATCAAGGAAAGTCTGTAAAGGAAGAGTCTTTGGCTGAGGAAGAACGTTCTACTAGGCTTTCAAGGCTAAAGTTAGTATCTTTTTGTCATTCTTTATGTTCTTTTGTTGAATCACTTGATGGGGTTGGGTGATCAGAGTGGAAGTAGTGACTTTTAATAGCTTGGAAGTAGTGTCTGATTTAGCTGCTAGTTTGGTATACATATAAAAGAAGAATAAGGCTAAATATAGCTTTTTTATGATCATTCTTTATGTTCTTTTCATGTTGTTCTCTTGATTCTATTATACTATGTGAGTTTTGTTTCTAAAGGGTGATCAAAGGCATGCTTAGCTTTTATCTTGGTGCACAAGATTGATTTTGATTTTTTAAAAAAAGTTTGTGTGTGTGTGTGTGTGTGTGATGGGGTGGGAGGAGGGAGTTTTTGTTGTTGTTCATCTTCTTCCTTATTTGAGGAAGAATGTTGCAGTAGGCTTTCAAGGCTACAGTCAGTTTTGTTTCTGAAGGGTGATCACAGTGAAAACTAGTGGCTTGCTTAGCTTTTATCTTGGTACATAAAATTGATTTTGATCATTGTTGTCTGTGTGTGTATGTTGGGGGGGGGGGGGGGTTCTTTAGTAGTATGATCAGAGTGAAAGACTGAAAGTAGTGTCTTGTTTAGCTTTTATCTTCGTACATAAAATTGATTTTGATTGTGATCATTGTTGTGTTTGGGTGTTTGGGGGACTCTGGTTCCTTTTTTGTTGTTGTTCAGCTTCTTCTTTATTTGTTGTATGTCTCCACTGAATTTGACTTGGGATTCTATTTGCTATGGGTGTGTGATCAGCATTCAGAGTGAAAGTAGGGCTTGACTTAGCTGCTATTTTGGTACATGTAAATTAATATTTGATTCTGATGGTGACTTGTGTTGCGTGTTTTCTGTTGTATTTCCACTGAGTTTGGGGATTCTAATAGTTGTGGTGTTGTGATCCTTTGGTAGTTTCTGATGATATAGTAGCAGCAAAATACATGTATATTAATCATCTTTGTCATTTCAATTACACCTTCCTTCGCAACATCACCATTGCTCCTAAATTGCACCTTCCTTCGCAACATCACCATTACTCCTAAATTGCACCTTCCTTCGCAACATCACCATTCTACCGCCAACATACCTTCTCAATTTAACAATTCACTTACCCAAAACACCACAGGCAAATCTCAACACCACTATAGTCACAAAATATACAGAAAAAGCCATCACGGCAACCACCTCTCAACTCTCATCTTCTTCATAAAGCACTCACCACAATTGTGAAAACAAAAGCTCAGTCTCTATTGCTATTGATGTAGGAAGATCAAGCTTGTCGTCAGAATTCACTCTCAAATTGGTAAAGGAATCTACCATTGGGTGAGGAAGGCCAAGTTCGTCATCAGAAACCTCCAAAAGATAGCCTATCTTCAAACTGTGACTCGTTGAATTCATCATCGAATCTTCCACCCCATTGCTTGTTTGCGGGGGGGGGGGGGGGGGTTCTCATAGAAGAGCTTTGGGAAATGAAAATTGGTTTTGTTATGGGTCAAGGAAAAAGAAGATGTGAAACACAGGGGAGGTGACGGACTTGCCGAAGAAGGGGAAGAAATAGTATGATCAGAGTGAAAGTAGTGTCTTGTTTAGCTTTTATCTTCATACATAGAATTGATTTTGATTGTGATCATTGTTGTGTTTGAGAGGCGGGGGCTCTGGTTCCTTTTTTGTTGTTGTTCAGCTTCTTCTTTATTTGTTGTATGTCTCCACTGAATTTGACTTGGGATTCTATTTGCTATGGGTTGTTAATTTTGTTTTTAAATAGTGTGAGTGGGGTCTGACTTAGCTGCTATTTTGGTACATGTAAAAATTACTATTTGATTCTGATGGTGACTTGCCTTGTGTGTTTTCTGTTGTATTTCCACTGAGTTTGGGGATTCTAATAGTTGTGGTGATCCTTTGGTAGTTTCTGATGATATGGTAGCAGCAACATACATGGATATTAATCATCTTTGTCAAAAAAAATACATGGATATTAATCATCTTTGTCATTTCAATTGCACCTTCCTTCGCAACACCACCATAGCTCTTGATTTTTTTCGCGACACCACCATTCTACTGCCAACACACCTTCTCAATTTAACAATTCACCTACACAAAAAACCACAGGCAAATCTCAACACCACTATAGTCATAAAATATACAGAAAAAGGCCATCACGACAACCACCATCTCCACCTCTCCACTCTCATCTTCTTCATAAAGCACTCACCACAATTGTGATAAGAACAACTCGGTTTCTACCTCTATCGATGTAGGAAGATCAAGCTCGTTTTCAGAATTCACTCTCAAATTGGTAGAGGAATCTACCATCGGGTGAGAAACGCCTAACTCGTCATCAAAAGCCTCCAAAAGATAGTCTAGCTTCAAACTATGACTCGTTGGATTCACATCAAATCTTCCACCCCATTGCTTGTGTGTGTGGTGGTTGGTGTGGGGGGGGGGGGGGGGGTTCTCATAGAAGAGCTTTGGGAAATGAAAATTGGTTTTGTTATGGGTCAAGGGTTTGGGCAGGACGTATTTATGCTCAAATTGACGGTGAAAAAGAATATGAGTGGAGATGGTAGTTGGGTGGAATGGAGAGAAGCTATTGAAAGAGGAAGGGGTAGGAGGGTTTGGCTATGCTCTTTGTGTTTTGGTGGAGGATTGCTGAAGAAGAAGAAAAGGGGGTGCAAGTGGAGTGATTATTGTGGATGAAGAAGTAGAAGAATGGATAAGGGGGCGAGGGTGGTTTTCTAAATGTTGTTTTTAATTTAAAAAAAAAATTAAATATCTCTTTTGTCCCCCGCCCCCTCCCCCCCCCCCCCAAAATCAGGCGTGTCTATCATACCCTGGTGTCTACGTCTACGAGATACACCTGTGCCAAGTAGAGGTTTCTATTTGACTATTGGTGGCAACTTTAATTGTCTATCGCTTATGGTAGCTATGATTTATATATGGAGGTTAGAGATTGGAATAGTGATTTACATTTTCTATATATTTCGCTGACATCCTTTTTTATGGTTTTGCTTTAATTTGCTTTCCTTCTTAGCATTGAAGTATACCTTTATTTCAATCCAGTCAACTGTGACTTCTCTGCCTGGATAGACATGTTTTCCTGTATTGTT